TCCGACGTAGATAAACATTGATCCGACGAGCTAACTCATCTACAAAACGGAGACGGTGGATCGGCGAATCAACCGTATACAAATGAATACTTCAACTTAAATAACAAGTCAAATTTTTTTTATTTTATTTTTTATTTTATTATATTTTACCCATTTATGCATGAAATTCAACTAAAGAAAATTACAGTCGAATTCTGTGCATCTTAATAGAAAATCTTATTGTTTTAAAAGTAATATACAGTAAAATGGAAGAAAAAAAGAAGAATAATAATAACAAAGTAAGATTAAAAATAAATTAAAGTTAAAAATAATAATTCATGTTTAAATAAATAAGAAGAAAGAAAAAAAAGCATGTACACAACTAGCACAAAAGCACACCCGCAATAAGAACAGATCCAGGTTGCAAGTGAACCTAAACCATTGCAAACATGCATAAGCTTGGCAATCAACTCGTTAACAACGCAATATTGTTTAAAAAAAAAAGATTTATTAAGAATGAAATGTTAGTTTAAGTATGAAATAGGTAAATCGCGCATATTAAACAAAATTGCCGTAATGGGCTTTAAAGAGTCCGACAACGAGAATAAGTGTTGAATATCATTTAGGTTTCTGCAAACAACTCTGAGCGGGTTAAACAGCTCATAATTTTATTTACATTGACAAAGCCTAATCAAGATAAAGTGGCAAAAGAAGCGGCTGGGGACATTAAAGCTTATCTCACAAAGTAATGCGGGCGAGTCAATAGTAAAATTTATTACTTTGATTAAGAAGGAAACCCCAAGCAGAAATCTACGTTTCTCAAGTGACGGTAAGGATAAAAGAAGCAACTTATTTTCATATGGGGGAAGAGAGGCAAATTCCTAAGGGCAAACAGTAAGAATTGCTTTTGAACAGATTCAATTGAATCTACATAGCACCTATAAGAAGGAGACCACACAACAGAGGCATACCCGAGTATAGATCTAACCGAACACATGTACCTTTTCATAATGTAAGAATTATTAAGATTTTTGGACTACCTCTTTATAAAACCAAGCGCGGGCCTAGTGTAACGAGAGCGCACTATGCAAATTAAAACGTAACCTATGGTCAAATTGAACGCTCAAATCTGCGAACGAATCTACGTCCTTCAACTTGTGCGAATCAATGAAATACTGATTAATGAATGATTTTCTTCTTGAGAAAGAAAGCTTCTTACATTTATTTAGATTTAGTTTCAGAAGAGCACGATGCAACAAATTATTCAAGTCACTTTCAAGCTGATGTGATTGCTATTCTACAGAAAAGAAAGGAAACAGTTTCACATCATCAGCATACATTAAGTTCTGGCTGGATTTAATCACCGAGGGCAAATCATTAATGTATAAATTAAATAAAATGGGTCCTGAGTTACGCCAAACGTCACGGAGAATTCATCCGAGGTAATGAAGTTAAATAAAACCCTGAGTGATCTATCGTGCAGATAAGAGCTTATCCATTACCCTAAATAGAAAGGGAAGCCAGAGGCTTGGAGTATAAGGATAAGTACTTTATGGTTAACTAAATCAAACACTTGGCTAAAATCAGTGTATATGACATCAGTGCGAGAGCCACTAGAAAAGGCCTTGAAAACATGTGAAGTATGCTCTAACAGATTGGTGACCGTAGATATTCTATCTATAGTGTGAAGTACGCCTCAGCCGTAATCATGTAAATCTTAGAAGCAGTTGATCTATTTGTACGATTCCTTCGTTAAGTTCCAACTGAGTGTATAAGTGCCTCTCTATCGATCATATCTTTAGCGTAAATTCGGTATAAACATGTGTATAAATATCTTCTCTCTTTAAACATGTTTCAAATCTTCAAGCAACATTACTTTTATGTCAGCTAATTGAATATAAATTTCCAAAAGATAGAAAAACTCAGTGCACGTTCATGGAACGTCAAGGAGCTGCCGGCCGACGACAAAGATTAACAAAGAGAAGGAAAAACTAAAAGCACATTCATCGCGCGTCATGTAGCTGCCGGAATAAGTAAATTGTAAACAATCCTACCCTGATTGTAAATACAACCACGATGTTGTGATCACCGTGCGAAATATGTAAAGAAAGACAAAGCGTAACAACTGGTGTTAGAACTGATATCGTGGAAACCAAGAGAAATGGTGAAGTTACAAGAATTCAAATAGATCAGCGCAAACCGGGGCTGGGTAAAAGAAAACTCCGTACAGCCCGTAGCAAAGCTGAATTAAAACAGAGGCATACATATTATAGTAGCGATGTGCTCCACAAAGAGCGTGACACAACACATTCGGCTTTTCAGCCAAGGGGGTAAGTGGTATCTGACAAAATAATTTTTTGTTTTTTATTCTTTTGATGGGGGATGACTGCTTCAACATAGTCGTTGGGCCTAAACAGCAGAGGGGTGCTTGACTTACGGATAAAGAATGTCCGGTTCAGCATCATCTTTGTTCCTGGATAACAGATAGTTATGTGACTTACGTATAGGAAGTGACGATTCTTCGAACGGGTAGGAACAGTAAAAGGCAGCAACTAGGACACAGGTAGGGACGGGCGAGTGGCCCTGTTGGCCCATAAGATTGGCTGCTGTATTTCGGGGAACTTTGCTACGTACGGAATGCGGAGAGTGATAGCCGATAAAGTAAGTACGTGTAACAATTGGGTCACGAGTCAGTATGAAATCCTAATTATCTATCAAAATCATTTTTGTCGTTAATACATAACTCATAACTATCTATCAAAAATCATTTTCGTCCTAAAAGAAAGGAATCGTAATTACCTATCAAAATTCCGTTAACAATAAGGAAATAACAAATAAAAAAAAATACGAAATTCCCAAACCGATACAACATGTAATCGCATATATTTTTCTCCTGAATTTATTGAAACCTTCCCAACTGACTGTATTTAGATATTACTTGCAGGTTTTGTAGGCCTTTTCCACTGTCTGTTTCCACCGTCACTGTCTCTAATCGCTTCAACAAGTTCAAGAGCGAATCACAACGGATATTGCACATTACTTCGGCCGTGATGACGAGGACATACATTCACTCGCAAGTTAACAGACCTACCGTCTCCATAGCTATAAAATATCGAGATATTAGTAATTAATTCTGTGTTATATGTTATGAGCATAATCTAATGGTCGAATAGACCCACCGCGGGTGTTAGTTAGATCAAATAAACGTGGACATCTAAGAGTGCAGATTTGCTGCAAGCCGTGTGAACCAACCATTGACCAAGGTTGACGCAGTCGCTCATATTGCATCAAGAGAATGCGTCGCACGCAAATCATTCGACAATATATTAACATTACAGTCACCGCACATATTATATTTTGCTATAAGATGAATTCGATATCCGAAAAATTTTCCATACTTTTTACATTACATTGTCCTTTATTCCTGCAAAATATAATTTTGGATGGGTGTGTATAGTGGACCTTCGGCATAGAATTCTCAATGATCTCGTTTGCCCTCGCACATTCATCATGTCTAATACAGTCACTCACCGTTGTTCGATTGTTCTTGCAACGATACTTTCCACTCGCTTCGGCCTATTTTCTTTTTGTACTCCACGGCGTACCGACAATACGACATTTTTTTAATACTGTACGGTGTGGATTTCATGCTAAGCCAATCGGTTACCAAATATTATTGAGTTTTAAACTTTAGTAGAAAATAACGTGCAGTACACAGTTTGTATTTCTAAAAATAACAACTTCATTTTATACAATGTTTTTTCCATTTTTAAACCGAAAATTTACAGGAAGCAATTGCAATAATATATTAAAAAAATTCTGTTATATTTGCAAATATGATGTTATGTAATAAGATTTAGCTTTCCATGAGCACTTTTCTTTGCATTTAAATGAAAATTAGTTTCAGAAATACGGAAATAAATTTCATTTAAAAAAAAAAGTTCCTGATGCATTCCATTACATGCACATATATGTTTGCTTGACCTACATTTCTATTCACTTATTTAACTAACCATCACAAATTAATGTATATTATATTGTACGTTTTTGTTTTTCGACCCATAAGAGTAGTTGCTTTTGTCTCTAAAAAAATTTTAAATAAATAAAACACTAAAATTATTTCATTTCAAATTTGTAAAACCGCAAACACCACATTTTAATTTCCACAACACAGAATGAGGCGAATTAACTACACTGTCCGTTTGTCTCTGGATGTGTTCATTTTGACCGCACTATAAACATGTACGCAGATGTAGTATAAGTGTCATATTGCAAACAAGACTAGTTTGCGTGGAAGTCACCCAGGAACACATTTACGTCTGTAGGACTTCAGGCAAATATACAATGCAATTGTCCTCATATTTGTAACTTTTAATTCTCATCCAGAGCACAGTTTGGAGTTTAATATTCATTTGTATGCTAAGAAATTTTTAGATCGTATTTGAAATGTTTTTTTGTTTTGCGTTTTCATTGATGCTACGGCACAACATTAACAAAGTAAGAACGGCAGCACGCAGTTTGTAGCCAGCATGCCACTACCAACTGGCCACGGCGCTACTGTTTTAGATCACCCTTCGCCATGGGAGTACTTTCATGTTAAACAGAAGAGAGTTTCAATATAGAATATTAACAGAGCCTTAGTAAAAATTTATATATATTTTATACACTTGTGCTAATATACAAATTTTTTATAAAAATGCTAATGCATTTTTTGTGTTCGAATATTTTAGCTAACTTCCTATACTTTGACAAAAGTGCTTAAACTCATACAAACTCTTAGATACGATACCACTCGTTGTTTTTATTTAAGAATTAAGATATGACTTGGCCGACGCAATCGTATGAGCTGAATAGGCGTGTAATAAGCAATGTTTGCAGGCAGTGTGAGTGAAATTGACGCAGTCGGTGGTAAACGTGTTAATAGGTAAGTCAGAGGACAACGTACTGTTACTTAGAGATAAAGAGAAAACTTTTGCTAAATTCGCAGTTGACGATAAGAAAATTATCCTTAAAACACTTACCCCACCATGCCCAGATCCTTCAAGGCCTTCATCATCGATATATATTTCATCTCTAGGTAAAAAATTCCTTTGTGAAGCTTCTGCTGCAGCCGTTGCTGACGATGTTATTGAACTTTGTAGCGATTTTGGAGATCTCTGCAATGATAAGATTCACAACAAAAGAAGTGTTAAAATTATTCAGCAAGCAATAGAATTTCAATAATAAAATTCAATAAATAGGCAATCGGTACTTCAACAGATGTCACTTTGCGGCGATTTTTGGTGGAATACTTTTTACTTTTTTTATCTGCAGCGCCGCACTGCAGTAAGTGAAAATATGTGTGTTTCAATCTAAGAAAAAGTACGCTGAGCTTCAGTGAGAGGAAATACTTTAAAAAAGAATTTGTACTTTTGTTCGTCAATAGACGGCTTACTCTTACAAGAAATGCACAGACAGCAACTGAAATTCAACAAAAAGATATGGACCGGAAGACATAAATAGGCGAAAGAAAATAGAGAGCGTCATCGTCTGTGTTGTTTGCATGTATCAGTTTAATCAATTGTTTCTTTTCTTACTGTTTCTCTTTAAATTTTCTATATGAAACACCGCATTATTATTAAATAACATTTGCTTTAGCTTATAGTGACATACTAGCCAAACTGTTCATAGTCTGATTTTGATAGTTTACCAAAAAATGCGGAAAAAAATGTGTAACTTTTTATCCGCATTAAATTTAATATATTTAGCGAGTATATCGTGCATAAAGCCAAAGATAGAAGAAAACAAATATTTCGTTGTGAGAAAAGACGAAGAAGAAAGTTGTGTAGTCAATATTAACGTAAACTTTATTATTATTGTTATTATAATTTTAGACTAATGAAATAAATTCTTAGACTAAAAAAGCAGACATTGAGCACTAGCAACACGGGCTATCGGCTCTAAATTATATAAATGTACATTAGATATTGGGCTTAGTAGTTTTAATAAAGTAATATACTGAATTGATATTCTGTTCTGAAACTGATTTTAGAATGTCCAAAGTTTAATCGGTCCAAATGCAATACTTCTAGCCAAGGAAAAGTTAAGGCAGTCGCAGAGAATATGCTTTATAGTGAGAGTTTGCCCACAACTGCAGATTGGGGAGGAAGACTTCTTGAAGATCCATTGGTGATTTGGAATTGTGTGACCAAGACGAATTCTCGAATATGTTTGGATCTTGGTTTTCTCAACATTTGTTGGATATAAAGATGGAGTTAACTGAGGGTAGTAAGTAGTGTTGATGATGGTATTGAAGATTTCCTTCTGTAATTTTCTATTTAACTTTTCTTGCAATGTATCTTTGAAGATCCAACTTTTCCATGACATTATCCATAATTAGAGGACCAGAAGCAGTATACTTTGCGGCTCGATCAGCCTGCTCGTTTCCCAGTAAACCGATGTGACTTGGTACCCATAACATTTTCATTTGTAATTGTATTCCTTAATTTGTTGATGGTGCTCCATCTCGAAGTCGAAGGATTCCGAATAGCTTGTAATACAGACAAACAGTCGGTAACAACGACGATTTTGAGTTTGTTTTTATGAACAAGGTTCGCAGCGTGAAGGATAACTCTGGCAACGGTTGTGAAAGTTGAAGTACTTTCGTGAAATGTGTGATTGAGAAGAACCCGTCCTGTACCATCTACCACCGCATAAGCAGGAGGCAGACTAGCAGACTTTGAGTCGTCTGTGTGTAAAAGATTCCAACCAGTACTCTCCAATATTTGGGTTCTTTCAGCTATTAGATTCCTGAAGACCTAATATAAAGTATCTTCTTTCTTGTGCATAGACAGCGGGATGTCAAAGGAGCAGTCTTTCAAAATCCTTGGAGGTTTAACACCAAAAGAGCGGAAAAATTTTTAAAGGAATGTTCAATTCTTTTGCGACGTGCAAACAAAACCCAATTGCGGATGGTGAGTTTGCAATTTTCTTCGCAATGATAATCTTTCTCACGCCGTCACCGAAAATAGATTTATTTGAATTAAGAAGCTTGGGGACTATTTTAGCTTTTAACTCATAAAGTCTATTTTCTAAAGCTGGGAGACCAATTTCAATTATAATATTATTTATGGGCGTCGTTCGAAAAGCATAACAACTTGCTCTGACGGCTTTGTGATAGACCGGCTTAAGGATGTTGATATTAGATTTGCAGCTATTGCCATAAATTATCAAAGCATAGTCAATCTTGCTTAATACAAGCGGTTTGGTAAGATAAACAATAGTGTTATTGTGAACACGACTTTTCCAAGCAACGTACTGTATGAAATTCACCCTTGTTAAATGGGAGTTTTTTAACGGAAGACAGTGTGTTTTCCAACTATATTTGTTGGAAAACATGGTCCCGAGAATATGCAGCGTCTGCACGTTTAGTACTGGTGTAGTGATACCACTCAATATTTAAGGTTCTTTTATTAGTTACTCTTTATTTAGATTTTGGCTTACGTTCTATTAGACTTATGACACTACTGATTATATTCTGACTTTACTGAGGTATGCTCAGGTGTCTTATATAACTAATAAATTAATGCTAACTTAAGCGAATAATATAATTAAAAGTAGGTTATAGCTTACTACTAATATATGAATTGCTTATTACTAAAATTCCACTACCTTAACTAGGTTAGTAGGAAATTGTATACTTAGCAATAACTTGTAGACTACGGTAGAGTTCGACTGATCGATAATACTACACTGGTAAGCCAGCAGATCAGCAGATTTCCTGAATCGCTTATCTGCTTTCGACAAACGTGTATTTTTTTTGATTTTTGTATGAAAATTTTAGCCCCTGACCAGTTTGCCCATGCGGAGATCTCTCATCCAATAGATTAGAGGATGTTGACTGCCTTCGTGCTATCTTTTTCTTTTGTAAAAATATATACATCGTTCGCGTAGAGACAATGTTCGATTCTCGGTAAAGAATTTTGCAAATTTCGTTGAAGGCGATCTGGAAAAGCGTGATAGAAAGAGGAGACCCTTGCGGAATGCCATTCATTAGCGGAAAGGAATCAGAGAGATTACTGTTGATTCTAACTTTAAACCGCCGATGCGACATGAATGATTTGATGTAATTGAAAAATTTGAGTCCAAGAGTCTTAAAATAACATGAAGACCAACTCTGTCAAATGCTTTTTCGAAATCAATTGAGAGAATTGTTACATGCTTCCTTTCGGAAATTTCTTTGCTTGTGAAAAAATCAATATGTAACAAAGCGTCGATGCACCCTCTACCCCGCTTGAAACCAACTTGTTGCTTAGTTGCCAGGTTCTTGGACTCAAGAAACCAAGATAATCTAGATGCCATAATCTTTTCCAATATCCTTGAGAGGCAAGACAAAAGAGAGATTGGGAGATAATCCCGTGCGATGGAGACTTTTTTGACTTTGGAATTGGAACAACTGCGGCCAGTTTCCACATGTAGGGTATATGGCCAGTCAAATATATTATATAGGTCCAGCAATTTCTTTTTACTTGAATTAGACAGCGCACTGATCATTTGATAGGAGATGCGGTCTGGACCAGGTGTCTTCCCCTTCGATTTATAGAGACAACTTTCAAGTTCTAAAGTAGATATGTAATTTTCCAGGAAGGTGGCACCTCTGTAAATACAATTTAAACGAGAAATTGGAGTCCTTTTGTTTTCGATGAAAGCACTGGGAAAGTTGCTGTCAGAGGAATATTCGCACCACACTTTTCCAAAGTAATTAGAAATCTCATCTGCGTCAGTTAAAGTTCCATTGGGAGTGCAGATGGCAGTAATTTCGTTCATATTCGAAGTCCCATTGAGTCTGTTGATTTTGGTCCAGACAACTTTCATTGATGTATTTCTGTGAATTCCTCTCGAAAAAAGTTCGAAACTAAGTGCCTTTGATTTTCGTAGTTCCTTCCTGAATAGAGCATAGACAATACGGAGAATAAACTGTAGAGTTCTTGCTGAGAGAACGATTGCGAAAGCACTGTAAATTTTATATTTAACATTATTTGTATCGCTACGGCTTGTATATTTGAGCTTAAATTTATGCATTTGTGAGGTATACTTGATTTTATAAAAACACCAGTTCCTTGTTTGGAATATAAATTTTGATCAGAGTTCGTGAAGTATCCAGTATATGATTTGAGTGGAATAGGATTAAAACAGGTTCTACAATGGGTCTCTTGAAGCGCTATAAAGGTTGGACTAAAATCACTTACAAGTGAACGGAGTTCATCATAATTATTAACAAGTCCCTTAATGTTCCATTGTAGAATTTTAAAAACCTTATTTAATTGTAGTGACATGGAGTGGAAAGTAGGTCAAGTTGACATGTCAGCGTCTCCGTCGAAAATGTCACTATAAGAATTTTGCGTGAATAATTTGTTCTTACCAACAGAATAATCTGTACTTAGCTGTTTGCGTAAATTTGAAGTGAAACGAGGGGGCATACGTGAATAATTTGAAATTGAAGGTTGATTGAGGGATCAAAGATTGGATTCATTACAGCTTGTAATTTGTTGAGTAGAGTTGAGAACTGGTGATTCTGGGGGATTTAGTTTATTAGATTTTGGCATATGTGTTGTTGTTTTAATTTTTTCAATATTATATTTGGCGGGCAATAGAACTGATTTGGCTATGTAATTTTTGGTTAATGGTAGAACAGGTTTCCCGTTGGAAGGAGTTGGAATTAAAGGCTTATTAGGCACGATTTTCGAGGCGCCAACAGCGTAGGTATTGCTTTGCTAATTCTTTGGGTTCCAGATGGATTAATTTCCCGGTATTTGCGTCGCGCTTCACCCATGCTACAGTAATTTTCTGTTTTGATTTTTAGAATTTCACGCATTTGTATAAAACGTGGGCATCGTTTGTCTAACGCAGAGTGTTGACCGTTGCAATTTAAGCAGAAGCTACGCGTACAGTTTTCAGCATGTGGAGGAAGACCACATTTAGAACAGGATGGAGGACTGGTGCATCTTTTTGCGGTATGGCCCAGGCGTTGGCAGTTGTAACACCTCATGGGATTTGGAATGTAGAGTTCTACTTTACATTTGTACGAAGCTACATCAGCCGTGCCGGTAGCCGATAGCGGTCAAAAGTCAAAATAATTCTTCCTGTAGGAGAGCGGGTTTTTCCATCGTCATTTAAA